GTAACTGAGCTGCTGGTGGGAGAAATATCCTATGATTGGCCTGGTGGCATCACCGTCTCCTTCGACGGCCCCTAGGGGCCGTGGGGGGGGGCGGCGGCCAGAGTCCCTTGTCCGAGCCTGCTCAGCTGGTTGATGGACCGACTCACGAAAGCTCCTGTCGGGTCTCTGCTGAATCGCACGAGGATAAAGACCACCCGGTCAATTATGACCCTGAGGTGGTGGCCGAATGCTGGGGTCAGCCGACGGGCGCCGTGGATGCCGAGGAGGTGGAGGGGGCATCGCCCTACTAAGGCTCAAAAGCTGCTACCTGGTCCATCGTGCCTGGCAGGTCTGTTCTAGGGCTTCCAAGGCAGCTGACCCGAACAATTCCCCCAGCACCACCGGGACATTACGGAGGGTTTTACGACATGGCTCGGTCAATGTTGACTGCGCCAACCAGACCTGTCGGCGAGCCTGGACCAAGAAGGCCATCACACGTCCAAGTTCCCTCGTCATCAGTGCAAAGGCCTGAAGCACTGCATCGCTAAAGCTCATTGCTGCTGTCGCACCACTAGTCCCCTGAAGGGACATGGAGATGGCAAGAAAGAGGTGTGCCATGGAATTGCCGAGGCGGCCAGCACGAGCTCCGGCGTAATAACTTCTGCAGAGGAATTCATCAGTGACGCAAGACTGAGCTCGTGGACACCAAACATCACTACGCAGAGCCTCCTCTGGTGACACGATGAGCGAGGCAACAGCAGGTTCGATCGTGAGCATGCGATCCAAGCCCGCTACAGCTGGCTCATGCACAGCCGCCAACATTCGGCCAGTCGCGGAAAAGTGTGCAAAGGCTTTTGGGTCCTGCCAGCAACCATGCAACTCCCTCAAGTACTCCTACGATGGAGGGATGGAAAAGGAGGGAGAGGCCCGTCCACACCTGAAGAAGTCACTTTATGGGGTGGACTCCTCTTGTTGCGGGATGTCCATCTGCAGCTGTCTCAGGGCCATACGCATGATGTCCTGCATTGAGCCATCACCTGACCCACTAGCTGTGCTCCGAGATGAAGAAAGTGAACCAGTCTCTGAGACTCAAGATGACTGCCTCTCCTCCTCACCTAAAAAGTGAGAGGCAGAGACAGCCAAGGATAACACATCCTCCTCCGCAGCCAGCTCAGGCATGGGTGGGGAGGAGAGTCCGGTCGCTGGCACTTGCTCAGCCCCCAGTCATGGCGTGCCTGAAATAGGGACTTAATCTCTGCCAATTCTGCGGACAGCTGCTCCACCCTCGTCGAGAGGCCCTAATCAGACTTGGCTCGCATCTTCCTAGGAGGGGCCACAGAGACTGTGGCCTCAGACTGGCACTTCGAGCGCCTAGGTAGAGCCTCGTTCCCAGAAGGCGGGAGGTCACTGCCAAGCTCGGGGCAAAATTGGGCCAGCCGAGCCACCCTCACAGCACGAGGCATAAAGCTACAATTCATGCAGGGGTTGGGGTTCTCTGACTGGGCCTCCACCAGATGGTCATGTCCAAGGCAAGCAGGACACAGGTCATGACCGTCATCTTCCTGGAGCACGGCCCCATAATCTGTGCAGCAGTGAGAGCCATCCATGCTCATTACTTTAGGCAGTTTATTCAAGTAAAAAAACCTGCAACTCAGCAAAGGGGCTGGCACCGCCAGATACGTCCAGGATACAGATTGAAAACAAGGACGAAAGTGTAGTAGAACATATGCATGAGATATATTCATACTGTTAAAATGGATTCTTTCATTTTTCTGGACTGTATTTGACGTGCAATTGAATCTAATAAAATGTGGACGTGAGACGTTAATTATCTTTGACTCACCAAGACAGTGGGTCATTTATTAACAGAATCAAGTTTAACACATCACACATTTACATTAATTGGCAAAAATTGAAAATAACGACAGCTTATTAATCAGTTTTACAGGAGTGGTAAACAATGCAGCGATTGTTCTCACTTCCAGCAGAACGGCAGGTATTACCACACGGCGGTGGTGAAAACTTTGCTTCAGACATTTCTAAAAATATCTGGATTAATTTGCTAGCAGATAGGAGAGTTTAAAGATGGAAAGATGAAGTTTAGAGGGAGGGAGATGGTGTGTGAGGGAAAGTGTTGAACAGAACGACACCCTCCATTCGATCCCAGCTTTCCTCGGTACGCTCGGTGGTAAACTCGACTCGTTACCTCTCTGAAGATGAATCAGCGGATACGGAGTTCAGTTAACGCTACCGGTCCAGCGTCTCCGTAGGAGTGGCAGAGAACCGTCCGGAGTGGTGGTGGTACTCCATCAACAACAGTTCACCTCACGAGTGGACTCACATGAGTGGAGTCCGTCAGAGTTCCACCCAGAGGTGGAAAATGTTATAATCCCATAAGACTCGGAAGAGCTCTGTGGTCATGTCAGGATTTTCCTGTTTCCCCAAACTCGCCTCCAAACTCTACTGTCGACTCAACTTGGGTTGAACTAGGAAGTACCGACATTTTAAAGAGCTCTATTTCCGGTTCATTTGGGAGTTTCTGATTGGTCAATGGACCAAAACAGAGGTGTGTTTTGTGATGTAAGGTGTTATGAAAAGTCAAGGAAAAGATTAAGATTGTTTAAGAACAGACAAAAAGATATTATGAAGAAACCAGACTTCGTGGAGTCACTTCTTCCAGTATCTTGCTGTAAAAGTTAAACATGACATTTCTTTTCAGTAAACTTTCAGTTGACCGAAACTTGAACTTCGACACACTTACAAACTTCGCTCATTGAAGACAGAAAATCAGACAATGCATCATTAACCTGATTTCTTCTTTGAATGAGGATTAAAAATCGTTATTACTGTTTCACAGTTGATTTAAATGATTAGTTCACTTCAACATTTAAAAATGGTTTGAACTAAAACACAATTTGATTATCAAACATTTGTAAAATAGTAATGATAATAGAGAATAGTCTTCTTTCACTTAATTAATTCAAGAAAGAAAGTCTCAGGATGGGTCAACCTGTATTTCTGGATGCAAATCAATGAAATGACAAGTTCTGTCCCAAATGGTCCTTAGGATCAAATCCTGACCTTAGGTCTAGTTCACTACAAAAGGATAGGCCGAGAATTGGGAGAGGGGGTGCGCACGCTGGCCGTCACCAATTAACAAGGCAAAGAAACTCAGACAGGCTAATGCCGCTAGCTCGGCTGGTAAAAAGAGGACGATTGGGAGAGAGGGCGCGAACACTTGCCTTCAACAACTAAGATAAGGCCAGAACTCAGAGAGGCCAGTACCGCTAGCTCAGTCCAACCATTTATGAGGTTGGTGAAAATGACTGGGAGAGGGGGCGCGAACGCTGGCCTTCACCAATTAAGAAAACAAGGCCAGAGTAGGGAGGCCAGTACCACTAGCTCGGTACAACTGTGTATGAGGTTGGTGAAAATGATTGGGAGAGGGTGCGCGAACGTTAGCCTTCACCAAAGAAAAACAAGGCCAGAGCATAGGGCGGCTAGTACTGCTAGCTCAGTCCAACCGTATATGAGGTTGGTGAAAATGACTGGGGAGAGGGTGCGCAAACACTAACCTTCACCAAAGAAAACAAGGCCAGAAACTCAGCTGGCTACGTAGTTAACAACTTCGGAGCACAGTCTAACCGTCTATGAGGTTGGTAAAAAAGACTGGGGAGAGGGTGCGCGAACGCTAGCCTTCACCAATGAAAACAAGGCCAAAACATAGGGAGGCTAGTACCGCTAGCTCGGTCCAACCTTCTATTAGGTTGGTGAAAATGACTGGGGAGAGGACGCGCAAACGCTAGCCTCCACCAATGAAAACAAGGCCAGAAACTCAGGTGGCTACATAATTAAATTTCAGAGCATAGTCCAACCAACCACGCGGTTGGAGGTCTCCAGCAAACGTGAGCGGAGCGAATGCTACCGCTAACCAATGGCAAAATATAAGTAAAAAACACTACTCACCGGTGTTGAATCACACACTTAGTAGTCATGAACAAACTTCGGAGCACAGTCCAACCGACCACGCAGTTGGAGGTCTCCTGCAAACAGGAGCGGAGCGAATGCTACCGCTAACCAATGGCGAAATATAAGTAAAAAAAAACACTACTCACCAGTGTTGAATCACATACTTAGTAGACATGAACAAACTTCGGAGCACAGTCCAACTGACCACGCGGTTGGAGGTCTCCAACAAACGGGAGCGGAGCGAGCGCTACCGCAAGCCACTGGCGAAATATAAGTAAAAAACGCTACTCACCGGTGTTGAATCATACACCTAGTAGTCATTAACAAACTTCGGAGCACAGTCCAACCGACCACGCGGTAAGAGGCCTCCAACAGACGGGAGCGGAGTGAACGCTACCGCTAGCCAATGGCGAAATATATGTGAAAAACACTACTCACCGGTGTTGAATCACACACATCGTAGTCAGACGCTGTAAGTTTGGGGGGGGGGGGGGTTGGGCGGTAACCGCCGTAGAACCCCAACGAACAGCAGAAATACCTTTGAACAAGGTTAAACTGTCGCAGCCCCTAGGAGGGCGAACACGCTACTCCCGCCAACAGGCAGTCGGGCCTCCAACGACAGTGAAAAGTTCAAAAATCCAAAGGGCTGAAGCCCTGAATTGAACCGCGCGCGAGAAAAATAAAGGAGCAGAGCTGCGGATGACGTCAGGCTATATAGCCTCTGATTGGTCATCCGTGTCACACCTGGGACTCCGTTGGTATTACTCGAACAGCGCATGCACGAAGGGAACATTCAGTGCTTTCAGCACCGCCCTCTGGCAGTCAGGAGGGATGAAATAGAACTTGTTTTATGTTTATATTTTAACAAATCACGTACTGTAAATTTACTTTTTTTAATGTGAGACATTTTCTACAAGTCTGCTTTTGGTTGTTGTTTTACTTGTGCTGGCTGTTACACAAATTGCAACAAATCGACTGATGTGAATCTAAGACTTCTGCCAGGATCGTTGCGGTTCAGCTCCTCAAAGAACATTTAAGAATGTTAGCCTTACTTGATACGCCACATTTTCCTGAGGACAAGGAGTGACCAGTTTTCTGAGTCCCTGGCAGGTGGTGGCCTCCGGTGGTGAGAGAATGGTTAGCTGGCTGAATCAGCTGGCTGTGGCTGCGGGAGGAGCCTCGCACAGGTGAGGATGGCTGGTAGTTGCTGTTGGAGGAGTCACTGTGGTAGGACTCTGGGCTGGAGGCAGAGCTTAACAAGCTGATGTAGGTGATTACACCTCCTAATTTATGGAAAAATTAGGGGAAATGTGGTGTGAGAGGATGCACTGAGCAGAACTTGGTGCATAACAACAACTGACCTGAGATTGTATGTACATTTTTGATCGTTACAAACAATTCAGTGCAATTCAGTTTATGTATATAGGGCCAACTAAACTCTTGGTGCACTGTACAAAAGCATTCACATATATTGTAAAATGCCAGTTATAGAACTTTTGATAATCAATTTGTGTCCAACTAAAGTTTCATGTCCTCCCTTAGACACTGAATGCTATAAATACTCAAAACATACTAAAGCTTCTCATTTGGTCTAATAATCGTTTTCCTGTTTAAAGTTTCATAAAAAAAAACCACCACCACCACCACCACCAAAGACCTTTTCCTACACACAGTCAACTACTTCAGCATACCCTCAACAGCTTTAGCCAATCAGGAAATGATTTGAAACTTTTTTATACTTTTTTAAAATATGGTATGGTATGGTATGGTATGGTATGAAGTTTATTCATTTTAAAAAAAGTACAAAACAATTCCATAACAATATATAAAAAGATACAAAAAAGTTTAAAATGAAAGGCAGCAGAAAGAAGAAAAAATCTTATTATATCTGCCCCTTTTTTCAAACAATTATTTCAGACATATTAATTTTCAAGTAACAGAACAAAATGAATAACTTTCTAATTTTTCTAATTCTAATATATAAAAATATTTAACTCAGAATCACTTTTCTGTTTCGCTGACATGAATGAGGATTTTTATTTTTACCTAATTTTAACTATTGTTTAGCACATTTAAGATGGTACATGCAGAGCTGGTGATCTAACCAACCTTTTTTTCATTCAACGCTTCAGTTGATCCAAAATGCTGCTGCCAGAGTCTTAACTGGAGTTAGTGGGAGAGATCATATCTCTCCAGTTGTAGTTTCTCTCCATTGGCTCCCTGTCAAATCCAAAATTGAATTCAAAATCTTAATTCTAACCTACAAATCAACAACCTATCTTCATCTTATACTACAGATCTTATTGTTCCATATTTTCCTAACAGAGCACTTCGCTCTCAGGCTGCAGGTTTACTTGTGGTTCCTAGAATTTATAAAAACAGAATGGGAGGCAGATCTTTCAGTTATCAGGCTCCTCTCTTGTGGAACCAACTTTCAATCTCTGTTTGTGAGGGTGACACATTATCCAGTTTTAAAACTAGGCTTAAGACTTTCATTTTTGCTAAATCCTATAGTTAGGGTCGGCTTGGGTTTCCTGAGCTGTCCCTTAGTTATGCTGCTATAGGCTTAGAGGCTGGAGGACAAATTGACCACACTTTTCACTCTGCTACTGTCTTTACTTACTCTGCTCAACCTGTTTTGTATTTGTAATTATTTTTTCTATCCTTAACATGTTTTTTGTCTTTCAGGTACACTTGGACCTATACCTGGACCTACCATTCTGTGTTCGTCTGTCTCTCCTTCCTGTCCTCTCAAAACAGCCAGTCAAAGCAGATGGCTGCTTGTCCTGAGCCTGGTTCTGCTGGAGGTTTCTTCCTTTTAAAAGGGAGTTTTCCTTTCCACTGTTGCCACTGTGCTTGCTCAGGATGGGAGACTGCAACGAAGCCAAGATTCAACTTTTCTGCTGCTTCCTTAGATAGAGAACTTTACTAATTGGCTTTTATGTATGTGAATGTTCCTGTAAAGTGCCCTGAGACAATCCAAAAAAGTTCAATCTGGTCCTCTGGACATTCAAAAAAATCAAAGGACCAGATTAAACTTTTTGGGATTTTTCTACCTGGATTATTGAGCATGCATCAGGATGCCCTGAGCCAACTTTGTTGTGATTTGGCGCTATATAAATAAACTGAATTGAATTTAATTGAAATTCAACGCAATGAGCCTAGAAGATTCATTTACAAGTGAGATCTGTTTAGACAGACAAAAAGTAATGAAACTGGACACATGTAGGAATTGGATGTGAAAAAATTCCTATCAGACTTTTTCTTCCTGCCTGAGAAAAAAAACTCTGATATTAAAAAACACCTTGCACAAACAAGTACATAGTGAAGTAGACATTCTGCAGAGGGGGATGACGAGAGCGGTAAGCATGATCATAGGGTACTGTAAGAGTTCTGATAAAGATGGAATGATCAGCCAGTGTCCTCCGGTGAGATCCATAAACATTCTCAAGGTATGTCGAGGAATGGCTAAGAATAACGACTATGAGAATCCAAGAGTCCTGAAATGATGACACAAAGTTTATTCAGCTGGTTTCACCTGGTTATCAGTTTGAAATTCCTAAGCTTAAACTCAGTCTGTTACCATGATGATACAGCCAAGCTCTAACAGTCTCTTTTACCATGATCATAGAACCAGGCTCACACTTGTCAGGATTTAAGCAGGATAGGGTGAACCCAATGGTGCAGACAAGCACTCTGGAGCTAGGAGATACAAAAATAAAGATATTTAATAAATATATATCAAAATGGCTGACGTGGCAGCAACTCACACTCAGGAGACACAACTGGAACATGACAGGACAGGGTAGACCCAATGATGAGGCGACAAAGAACAAGACTCACAGACAGGTTTAAATACACAGACAAGACAGGACGTGATTACAAACAGCTGGGAACATGAGGTGGAAATCATGGTGATCCAACTAAACTCACACTCAGTCTGTTACCATGGTGATCCAACTAAGCTCAAACTCAGTCTGTTACCATGCTGATCCAATCAGTCTTAAACTCAGTCTGTTACCATGATGATCCAACCAGGCTCAAACTCAGTCTGTTACCATGGTGATCCAACCAGGCTTAAACTCAGTCTGTTACCATGGTGATCCAACTAAGCTCACACCCAGTCTGTTACCATGGTGATCCAACAAGGCTCAAACTAATTCTGTTACCATGGTGATCCAACTAAGCTCAAACTCAGACTATTACCGTGGTGATCCAACCAGGCTCAAACTCAGTCTGTTACCATGGCGATTCAACCAGGCTCAAACTCATTGTCTTTTACCGTGGTGATCTAACCAGGCTCAAACTCAT